AAGTTTCTGTAGAGTTATATGATGAGATAAAAAGAGAGGAAAAATAATGTAAAATGTAGCAATAATGATTGGTTTATGAAGATGCTTATGAGCTTTGTGGAAGTAGCTGATTGGATAAGAAATTTATAAAAGACATTGTAACTGAAGTTATAACAGCTTCAGATGTACTTACAGCTTCGGATGTGATGGCATGAATGGATGTAACAACCTTACGGTCTCGCCCTTCCATGAGACTGATTTTGGAATAAACCATTTTTTAACCACCTCATCAGTCAAACCCCATCTACTCTGTATCCCAAACAAAGGGCTATTAATGATATTTTCTAAATTCAAATCAAAAAACAAAACACACAAAAAAGTTGTGCTTGGCTCACCTAAATGTAATTTAGTGTTTGGTATATAATACAGAGTTCAATCTTGATTTTTGGTACCAGAAAATACTATCTGAAGACTCAAGAGCACCATCAGCACACATCATACCTGTCCCCCAAAAGATGTTTGTCTTTCTTCTACCAGCCTGAAGCTACTTTATTCAGCTGTATGAATTAATTCTTACAGTTTTTTCTCTTATTAAATTGACATATAAATAAGCCTAGGCTCTTCTGTTAATAGAACATTTCTTGATTACTATCAGTGTTTCATTCCACTGCTTGTTTTTTAAGTTGTAATTTCCTTATTTCACATTGTTTTAACTACATTGGCTGCAAATGTTAACAGAATAACTAGCGATTTTGGGGGCCAACTAGAAAGGCCTTAAAAAGATTTGATTAGGCAATTCATTTTACTAATATTACAACATCTTCACTTGATTATTTTAAATGAGTGTTGATGTATACCCACTTTGGCAAAATACTGAGAAGTTAAATCATCTCTCCTAAATAACAAGCTTTCACTGGCAGAAAGACATGGGCTAAGGAATACAAACAGGATTCAGAAAAACAAATGCCATGTTTACCCAGCAAAATTTACCACAATCGCTTTCCTGGGGTGAAGTTCAAGCCACTATCCTGAAACCAAAGCGATTTAATTCCTGAACAGCATCAGAGACGAACGCAGATCTGTGGATCTGCTTTCTCCCATCCCCACTTTTAGCTATTCCTGCCCAGTAGTTGCTCCAGTAAGATTGGCTTCTAAACTCCCTGCTCCAGAACTAGGAGAAATGTTGTAAGGTCTCAGACACAGCATAAACTGCAACTACAGTTAGCAGTAATGCAGTGCAACCTGTCATTAAAGCATCTATTCCATTGTCTCTGTCAAATTCCAAGCTGAACTCTAGCCTCTTAGCCAGAAATACACCCAACTCTACTCCTTTTAATGTGATGACATTTTATGTACAGACTGCTTTGAAGTCTTCATCTTTCTCAACCCTAGATTTTCTTATGTCTTAGATGGATCCATCTCCTCTGAGACAGGACAGATATATTTTGATTTGATTCCATTAGGAAGGTAGGCTAAGACTGAGACAGAAGATAACCTCAAGTCTAACAGAAGTTCTCAATTATGGCTGAAATTAAAGAGGGTAAGAGATAGGAATTTTAGAAGTTCCAAACCCCCATCAGGGGAATTTGCACAAACTTTCAAAAAACCGCATACAACTTAGTTTTGAACACTTGTTGGGATGGATCATCCATAACTTCTGTAGGGAGCTGTCCCAGTGCCTCACCACCCTCAAAGCAAAGAGTTTCTTTCCTGTCTTTGCTCACCTAAACCTGCCCTCTCTCAGTTTGAAACCTATTACTCCATGCCCTTGTAAAAAGCTCTCTTGTAGCACCTAGAGATATTGGAAGGTGCTCCAAGGTCTCCAGAGCATTCTCTTCTCCTGGCTGAACAATTCCTTCACTCTATTTTAATGGGAAAATTCTTCTCCACCCCTCTGAGCATCTTTGTGGCTCCTCTGGACTTGCTTCAGCGGGACTAAATCTATATTGTGTGGAGCTCCTGAAAGCTGGATGCAGTCATCCAGATGGAGTCTCACCAAAGCAGAGCAGAGGGGCAGAACCAACCATCTTTACCTGCTGGTCATGCTTTTGATGCACCCCAGGATATCGTTGTCTTTCTGGGCTGGAAATACACACTGCCAGGCCATGTTTAGTTTTTTATCCACCAAAAACTGGGTATCCTTCTTCTCAGAGCTGCTGTCAGTTGACTGCCCACACACCCTGTACTTGTGCCTGGGATTGCCCTGACCCATGTGCAGGACCTTGCACTAGGACTTGTGGAATTTTATGGGGTCCATTTCTCTTCTGCAGGCCCACTTCTCAAAATCCCTCTGGCTGACATCCCTTCCTACCAGTATGCCAGCTGGTGTCGCTGGCAAACTTGCTGAGGGAGCACTCAAACTCACTGTCATTGTCACCAACTAGATGTCAAAAGATATTAAGCTATGACACCACCAGGCAACCAAATCCTTGAGACACACATGAAAGACTCTGAAGGTGGGACCCACAAAGTACCTTTTGCCACAAGGGCAGTGGATTTATTATGGTTTGCTTTTTCTGTATTGTTCTTGTGCTCTCAACATTTAAGTGTATTCCTTCCTTTTTGTAATCAAGTAAGAAATGAATCAATTGTGGCAAACATTTTAATTCCTTAATAATTCTTTAATCCAAAGTGTTAACAACTCTATCTGGAAATACAAGTAATTTTTCCAGTTTGATGGTAACTTATTTTGTCTTTAGTGATTTTAAGGGAAAAGCAAGCAAGAGATTGTGAGATAATCTGTAGTAGGAACTGCTTACCAACTACGATTGCATGTAAAACCCTGTATACTGAATGGCTGAATATCAGACCCTTTTTGGAAAAGCTGGCTCAAGAGATATGACAATGAGACAGTTATTTCTGAACTTATTTTCAGTGTAAACAGAGATAAAAGATGGGCTTCCAAGCATAGAAGTGAATCTTTCTACTGCAAAGGCTTTATTTTAAAAGATCTGTCATTGTTCTGATTGCTCTCATTGTCATTCATTGAAATACCAAGGGCAATGCTGCCAGGATTTGAGTGTGGGCTCATTCTTTCAGTACTGCATTCCTCAAAAGACTGAAATAAAATCCCTCACATTAAACAATAATGCCCCTACATCTAGTAATAATTAATACATTTATTACATATTACCCTAATGCAGGTTTATACCATTGCTCATATAAAGATACTCTACAAATTATTGACTTGGTTCTCTGTATATGTCTTACAGTTGTTTATATAAGAGGCAACTATAAAATATATAAGAAAAAACATATGAGCAAGCTGATAATTCAGGAGCAGTCACATGAAGTTATACTATTTTAAACTATATTTATATTAAAAAGAACTAGTCTGGAAATAGTTATATTACATTAAATCATTATCAAAGACATTAGTGATCTTAATTTATCTCAATGTATGCACTAAATACAAATATCCAACTTTTACTGGTTAAAGTCCTACCCCATTTAAGTTAATTCTTCTACCACTTCAGTGCAGTTTAGGAATGCATTAAGTGGTGCAGAAACATTAAGGCTACCCTGACCCGTCTTCAACAGAAATGTAGAATCAAGACTTATTATTTACAGCTCTAATGAAGCATCATTGCTTTTCAAGTAACACCTAGGATTTATTTTACAGAATACCTTTTATCTTCTTTGTATCAGGGGAATACAAAGAAAGGGAAGAGATGCTGTCATGGATTATTTTCAGTGTTGGCCAGTGTACAGTAAATACTGACCAGCTGCTAACCAAGTCCTTATTTACCTGACTAAAATGACCACTATAACATGAAGTCTTTCACAAGAGTAACACAGATGTCAGAGATTAGAAGTGAATATTGTTTTAAAGAATTCCACTCCTGAACAATATATTTCTTTCAAACTGCAATAATCTCCCCTAAAAGAGCAAAAAGTTGCTAAATGAATGTTGACTCTATGAAAATTTTAGTAATACATAATTTTTCCAAAGCATGAAAGAACAATGTCAGTTCTATTGCATGTGTCTGTACAGAGCTGTGGATCTGCATAGTGAGATCCCAAAACATAGCAGAAATGTAATCAAAATCTCTGGTTGTTGTGAGCTCTCAAACAAAGTAGTGCTAAATTTTCCAAACCTTAAAAGTATCCTGTAGTAAATTCAGTTTCACCTGCAAGGTTAGGTCTCACTAACAACCTCACAAATGCAGACACATATGAAACGAACTTGTCAAACGAACTACTGCATCCCAAAGAGCAAGGTCAAATATTGTTTCAGCTTTTAAATTAATATTGTATAGGCTGTGTCTTCCTTTGAACTTGGTTTTATATTCTACAGAAATACACTAGCTATGGCTGTTAGGAAACCTGATAATCAAGCATGAAAGTTCAGTAACGGCTTTATGTATTTTAGATTACATTCCTGCAGAGATTGGAGGTTTTCCTTTTACATTGATGACTAAATCTACTTCCTGGAATTATCATACATTTAACTAAAGTCTCCATATAATTTCACTTGCTCTCTGCAATTTATGATTCAATAATGAAAAAGCACAGCCAAGTATATCCAAAACAACAGAAAACTCACATCAACATTCTTGGATGCTGCAAATAATTTGCTATGTAAACTAGACTTCTGTTGATCATCATTCAGCATTCAGGAAAGTGGCTCATTTATTTTAACTGCAACTTTCATTTATGTACTTTAAAACCTTGTTGCCAGCATAGAGGTGGATATTTATTCAAGGACCTATGATAAATTTACCAGTTCTTGTTATCACTATTATTTTTCTCAGACTCCTACATATAATGTCATCAATTACTTAAACAGGAAGGAAGGCTAAAAAAATTCAAGCAACGGGTAGACAAGATAACTTAATTCCCACACAAAGCAAAAAAAAAAAAAAGAGTGGGCTGCATAAAATACCAGAAGCCATATGCTTACAGCCACATCTGGCTGCAGAAAGGTTAAAATGCAGCCAGAACCAAATGCATTTTTAAATTAACAAGCTGCTTCTGGGTATAAACATGTACACTGGCTTATTGCAAACAAATGGATGTACCTGCAGAGACACGGGGACAGTCTGGCAGCATGGACTCCACCGATGTGTCCAGGGGCTCGGAGCTGGACACCCAGTTACAGCAGTTCTGTAAGAGCAGGCAGGCAATTCTTGGGATAAGTCAAAAACTCAGAGCAAAAATAAATATAGATGATGTAAGCGAGGACAATGATCACATCAAAATACCCAAACTAATTTACATAGCAGTCACAATAACAACTGGACAGTACAGTACACTAACTTACGCTTACAGACGATGAAATACTGTAATTTCATACTAAGTAAGAACATAATTCAGCAGATTTGTAATGTACTGAAGTATCATGGCTTTTAAGTGCTACTTTGAGTTCCAGTAGACTTGAGTAGGTGCTTGGACCAACTAGTGCCTGAACTACCCACTACAAGCTTAAAGATTTTGCAAGTTGGTGTTGATATAAACAAGTATTGGTATAAACACTGAGCCTGCTCATTTGCTAACATTAAGAAATCAGAATTTCCAGGGTATTTTGATGGAGTACACTGTCGAAGGAACATTCATGAAAATATGAAACAACATACTATAACTAAACAGAAACTATCAAGATAGAATATTAATAATTAAATAATTGGAAATATAGCTGAGATGAATGTGAGTGAACATTAAAAAAAGGCAAATACTGGTCTCTGGGGAATTATATTCACAAAGCCTTTACATTTACCTTTCATTCCTGAACCTCTGAGAAGGATGAATTTACCATGAATTTTCTAAATGTTTTGTTCCAAATGCTATTGTCATGGTTTGATGCTGGTGCAATGCCAGTGCCCCAATGAAAATACCCTCTCCCTGGTGTCTGCTGTGAGATGTGACCAAGAATAGGCAAACCAGGCCCCTACTTAGAAATAAAGAAAACTTTATTGACTAAACTACAAGTAAAAAGAAACTCATAGGGAAAATGAAAACCTTCCAAAAACATTTCCTCCTCTCCTCACCAAATTTCCAATACATCCATCCCTCAGATCACCAACTCTCAGTCCATCACCACCCTTTGGACAATCAATTCTCAGTTCATCAAGAGGAGAGGAGTCCTTCTTGTGCCAGAGGCTTCCCCAGGAAGCACAGTTGAAACCTCGTGTGTTTCCATGTCACTCATGGCACTGCCTGGAGAACATCTGCCATCGTGACCTCTTCCTTCCATGTCCAGTGCTCTCACCACTGCACATGGACCAGAGCTGCTCCTAGGGTTTTCCTGTCAAGGATGCTTTGTCCTGTTCCAAAAAGAGCACAGTCTCTCACTTTCGGGACACCTGGCCCCCCCAGATTTCACCCCCTGGGGCCAAGGGGTACCAACACTGAACCCTCTTGGCTCTGAGCCATTGCTTCCCCCTGGATGCAGTCCCTGTGTCACAGGAAACATGGTTCTGTCCATGGGCTATACAAGAAAAGTCCAGCCGAGGTCACTCCATCATCTTTTCCCACCTAAGATTCTTCTCCACTCTCCTGGCATCTTTCACTTGCACGGACTTTCATCACACTTGCCCATTTCCCTCTCCACTTCATCTCTATCTCTCATCTCATTCAGATCCAGGAGGATCAATATTTGTAAGGTTTCCATTATTTGAGAAAGGGTTAAAATCTCAGGCTCTGCCTGCTCAGGGCTTCTACTGCCCTGCTGGCACCTTCTCGCTGCACCCCCCTTTTCCTTCTCCTGGATTTCAAGGTGGTACCACCAGCACAGGCTGGCTCTCTCTCTCTCCAGGGGTGGAGGGGAATGGCTGCCCGATGCCTCTTCGTGCTTCTCCACCTTTCCGTCCTCAAGGGCCTCTTCACCTCCCTCTCTGTCCAAGGCCCGGCCTACATCACCCAGGCGCATGGCCTCCCCTCCCCTGCCCAGCCAGCAGCACCTGGTCAGGGGAGAGATCCGAACTCTTTCCTCACCAGAGTCCAAGAGAGCTTCCCTCTGGGAGTTCCCTGCTTTTAACCCCCTGTGTTCTCAGAGGCGTATCCATGTCCCCAGTAGCCACACCAGGTGCCAATATTCAAATCTGAGCACCTATTGGTGACCACAGCATATCCCAGAATACTTACTTCCTCCCAAACCACGACAGCTATCTAATCAGAGTAGTCTATAAACTGAAGTATTAAATTATATGCTTTCAATAAAATATGATGAAACGACACCAAATCTACTGAACTGAAGATTTAATTATAAAGGGACTATATTTTTAATGAGATTACCAGCTGAACAACAAGATCCATGTTGCTTGCTCTATGAAAAATCTGAGCTTTTCCTTTCTGAAAACCTGATTAACTTCATAAAGTGGAAAAGATAAAAAAACCGAGCAACACTTTGGAAAGACCCAATAGATTTTCTGACAGATTTCTAAAAAAATAATACCATCAGATCATGATAGTAAAAATGGACAAATTCTCTTCTGGTAAACAGCATGTATTGTGTATTTGTAGATGGTTGCTGCCCTAGTTGTGCACCATGGAGTCCGTCTTCACTGTGGAAAGATCCTTGACTGGTAGATCAAGTATCTTATTGTATTTCCTTAATTCATTCTGTCTGGAAGAAGATGTCAGCTGTGTTGCAATGAGGGGAGAATTTCAAAGGCTTCAGTCCCCACCAATAAAGGGTGAGGAATGGCTTTTGAATAGATTTGTCAAGGCAACCCTACTGTTCTGGGACCAGGGAGAGCAGGGACAACATAAAGGAAGGGTTGCTGTATGAGATTAGAAAGTGAAGTTCACAAAGCATAGCAGATTTTTGTAAGAAACAGTAGATCAATGAAACTATTGAACTCAATGGAAAAAGAAAAAAACAAACACACTATCCAGTAATATAACATATTTAGTAAAACCTGTTAAAATTGAAGTATTTCATGAAGGTTTTAAGGTTTAAAGTAGTAAAGCATTATAATTTTATGATTTGCATGTGTAATTTTAATTAACAGCTGAATGTGAAATTGCAAATGTAAGGTGGTAAAAGTTACAAAAGAAGTAGAATTTTTATGAAGTATTACAATCATTTGAAATAAGAAAAATTAATATTAACTACTGATAGAACACTACATCAGAGAGCTGGAGATAATACAGAAGATTAGCACACAATTAACTATCTTTTATATACAATGTGACACTTGCCTGTAAGAAATAAGTATTCTCGAAAGCAGTGTCAAGATATGTAAATGGATGATTTGTTTTATCATTCATCACAGTTCTTAATAAATTCAAAAATCATGACATCTATAGGTACTAAAAATAGGCCACCAGTGATACAGGAGAGATAGCTCAAATGAAGAATTACTTTATTTTAACAATTCATTCTTTCAATGACAGCAATTAGCCCTACAGACAGGCAACGATTAGGTGTATATTTTAATTATTATTCATTTTACCACTAGCCTTAAACCTGATTAAAGTAAGAGATATCCAGGTGATATGCTAGACTTAATACCACTCAGCCACATTTCACATATGTAAAATTCTTCTTTCTTATAGGAGATTTTTAATGCTAATGTAAGTTATGACACTCCATCCACTTTTTAGGCCATTAATCATTTAACTTATTCTTTAACATCTACTTTCTGCAAATGAAATTAAAGGTAATGCACTTTTCTTATTCAGACTAAATGCTTAAAGAAAAATGGAGTTGTCAGATTCAAATTACAGGATTTAAAATTTCAGTTTTACTACATAACACATATTTTAAGTTTTGATTTCTCATAAAGAAAATGGGAATTTCTCTGACAGAGCCTGTAGGGGTTACCATTCTTTATATTTTTAACATTTAAGTCAGAGCTGTCAGGCTGCATCCCAGGTGATCCTCTATTCCCATCAGTCACGGCCTATAAAACTTTAAGTTAAAGTCAGGAATAGGCACTGTATACACTAAGTTTCACTAAATCCACGAGAAAAAGTCAAGTACAAAAGAAAGTTCAGGATGTGACTAGTTTAAATTCACTCTGTGCACCTACTGTTTAGGGGTTCTGCCATGGGAATGCAGAAAATAGAGATGAGCCTGATCTAGTAAGGATGAGACTCATAAACAATAAAAGTTTAGTTGGCCTTGCTCTAAAATATGATTTTTAAAATCTCAACAACCTCATACCTAAGTGTAAGCTTCCGAGTCCTACAGGAGTAATTACGTATCAAAAAGCTGCTGAGAGAAATGCTATTTTGCCATTTGTGCAAATCATCAAACTTAGTAATGAAGAGCTTAAAGAGGACTTTCCACCATTGCTAGATGAAACCAACAGCATGGAATGCACCCAGGACTTTGCTCCAGGTATCAGGCACTGCATGGGCTGCCTTGGCATGTCTCTGTTTTACTGTGCATCAGGAAGAAACACTGGACTCAGTGCCTAGTATTTTGACTGCTAACTTGGCAGTTCAGAAATGGCTTTAATCTTGGTTATTTTAGTGGCTGGTACGGATTCATGATTTCCACTGTTCTGTATTATGCTGTCCTTCACACCCAGACATGTTTATTCAGCCATATACAGACATACATACTCAAATTCTTTAAATAAAAAGGCCTTACCTCTCGCATCCACTCTCTAATAGTTTTCCCAACTTCTTGATGCCACACATTGTGAACTGAGTCTGTCAACGCCACAGCAGTTACCCTATTCTTTACTTCTGCCTCTCGTTGAATCATCTGTTAAAAAAGATTGTATTTAAAGTAATTCCTTTTACTGAACAGAGTCTGCTTACTCAGAGATAATGATCTTAAATTTAAAAAGAAACACCAACACAGATTCATAATCTGACTTCACTTGTTTTAAAGTTTATACAATTCCTAACAGGTCCAGAAAAAACAGAAACACCTAATATTTTTGAACAAAAAAATACTAACTTTTGACTGACTGAACTATTCAGTCCTATTATTTTCCATGTGGCTTGACAATTCTAGGATTAAAGGTATCATAGTGAAAAAATGGAAGATTCCCTGAGGACACCTTTTACAAGCTTCTCCAAGTTCCTATTTCAGTTCTTCAGGGAAGCTGGTACCTGTGGTTCACTGTAAGGTTCTCTTGACTATCATCTACTAATTTTCAGTAGATTGCTGTAGTTTTTCTGATGTACAATCTCACTTCGACTTGTATAGGTTTTTTCTTTTTCTATCCAATTTAGCTATCTTGCATGCTCACCATGGTCCCAAAATTCTTCTCTCTTCTCCCTTATTCATATACTTACTCAGCTAACACCAAAGCCTCTCAACATTTTTAGGATATTAAAGAGCCTCTGTTGTTGCAAATGACAGTATGACTAAATAATATCAGTTCTAAAACAAATTAAATGATTGCTGCAAATAACACAAGCAAACTGACAAAGATGCTGTGGATTTCAGCACTGCTATGCAAGATAAAAGGTACGGGGAAAGAATAGTTTGATATCAAAGACAGACAAAAAGGTTTTAATCTCCTGACATGAGTGATCCTAATTTGTAACACTGGATCAAAGAAAGCGTAATAAATTATACTTACAAAACCAGCATTTCACAATTGGTGTCATTATTGCTGTGTATGCTACAATAAAGTTAATGGTTTTTTAAGCTTCCTTTTTGTATAAATGTAACACATACCATATTTCTAAAATCAGGTATTCTTTCTTCATGCTCTAGTAACTGCTTATCAGCACACAGGCTGCACCTCTGAACCCACTGTTCCATGTCCTTGCCATAAGAATGAGTCCAAAAACCTACCAGAAAAAAAGTTTTTTGAAAGAGACAGTATCTAAAAACAAGACCTGTCAGCTACACCACCTAACTTGCTTTAAACCCTGTACATTGAATAACTGTTTTAAACACACTTTATAATATTCCTGTCCCAATGCTGTGCATTCTAGTAATCATTCAGCTGCACTGTCTTCCACAAAACACTATGATTAAACAGGCAGAGGTGCAAAAATACCACTGTCCTTGAAGCCCACATACCTACCAATTACTCAGAGTTATTACATGCTGGGTGAAGTTTAAAATCATCACCAGCTCAGAGTATTCCAGCATGACTTCCTCCATGAAGGGCTGGTATTCAGAAGCACGTCTAATGACCAGCAAAGATAAAAAATATGCTCTGCTTTGGAAAAGCAGTTTTTTTCTCAAGCTACAGTGTCCCATGTTTCTGTTTTGAAAACTAGCCACCCAGTTCATCTTAGAACATCACCCTTTTCTTCAAATCACAAGAAAATACAAAGGTGCAGTTCCCTTTTTCTTTTCCAGACCTAGCTCAGGTTTGCTATTTTCAATTTCCCTATGCACATGTAAGAACTGGCAGTCATTGATCACCATTTCTTTCTAATCTTTCTTCATATAGTACATACAGTCTTTGCTTTTCAGATCATGTATGATATATAGGAAATAATATGCAATACCCAACGTGCTCCTGGTGCTTGCCATTCAGCTTTGTGGATGCCTGCAGAATCGTATTCTCTTCACAAAGATCAGCAAAGTGAGTGAGGCTGACAATGTCATGTTTTTTGATAACTCAGCCCCAGTGCTAGGGTTAGGATAAGGTCTCACTGATGCAGAAGCAAAGAGGGATCAAAAGAATTAACTGAGCTTCACGTACAGATTTCTTTACATCCAGACCTGAGGAAAAAAATTTTGGTAGGCATCCATGCCCTTCTGAGCCAACTTAGAAAGAAATAGACAAAAACAACACATCAAGTGTGGAAAGGATCAAGGGTATAACCATCACTTAAGCAAGAAGTCTAACATGTCCATGTTTTAGTGACACAGAAATGTCACAACAGAGCATGTCAAACTGAAGACACTTTTGCTTCTATCAGAGCAGCTCAAGTTTACTGCTACTATGGGACATTCACTGATAATAATAATCAAGGAGAACAGATCCAGGTTAAGCTCAAGCAACAGACCCTCTTATCAGGGATGATAATTTACCCTACAAGAAGATACAAGAAGTCCACATACTTTTGGGCACAGATGCTTCAATACTCAGTAAATGCTTCAGATTCAATGGATTGTTAGCCCACAGTTAGAACATATTCCTCTTTTCTAAAATCAGTTTCAATTAAGGTAAATTTTAAAAATTAAATGAGTGGAATAAAATTGTAAAGGTAAAATAGATTGACTTTAAATAAAAATGTAGTACCCAGCTACCATTCAAATTTGATGTAACACAGAAGTTGTACCAGACACCAAGAGAAGGATACTGCGGGATGCATGATTTACATTTTCCAGGACTTGTTTTATTCTGTGGAGCCTGTAGAATCTTTCAAGGTAGACATACTAAAACTGATGATATTTAATAGACCACAGTCTACTAAAAATACTAAAATTTAGACATTTTTCTACAGAATAATGATTTTTTTACTGAAGCAAACAAAGGCCTAAGAATTTTTTCCAAAGTTCACTTATGGCTTATAATCTTTTTACATCAATAAATTCCATCGACAGAAAGTTTTCACAGCCTAGGAATTACTTAATTTCCTGCTTAGTGCCCATTTAAAAACCTTAAACTATTCTTAGCTGACTACATTTTGCAGGACAGCTCTCTGTGAACCTCATCACTCGATGGCTCATTCCTCCCTTACACTCCTTCTTCCAATAATTCATTTACAACCAGAAGTAGGTAAAATGGCATTTCTCTATTATACGTAAATAGGTTCTCATGTATTACTGCACCACTCATGATTCTGGGTCCTCTAGACTTTCCCAATAAGCTTCTCTCTTTAGGCATTTTCATTTCATCTTTTTTCTTGTGCTTCTTCTTCGTAGTCACAGTAAAGTTTGATAACTTATTAACCAAATTCCAACACTATATATTTCATTCCCTTGGAATGACAAGTTGTAGACCAGTTCTCCTTGCAACAAGTTAGAAAGCATTCAAGCATCCTTTTGAAAGTCCTCTTTATCTCATTGGTTGAAAATTTGTTTCTTCACTTTGGAAGGGAAGATCTCAACAATCTAGTTGCAAAAGTATTCAGCTCTAACAGTTATATAAGCAAGAACTTGAAAATTCCTAAAAGTGCATTTCTCATGTTCATACATCATAATTACTCATTTGTTGCTCAATTTAATAAGTATTCTACTGCTAATCTGTAAGCTTCTATTACACAGTTGTAATAACATTATAATGTCAAAAGGTTGATACCTGTACTATCTATAGTGTGTATAAATAAAACACACATTCACACATACAATATATATGCAGTATATTTAGCATGCATATATAGTCAGAATAGATTGTAAAATAGGCCTTCGGTATATATTTTACAGCATAATAGTCATGTCAAATGAAAGCATCTGTGTGTTAAAAGAGGACTTAAAGGTCTCATCTTGCCAACCAGAAACCATGAAAATCCATGAAAGTTCCAATTAGACTTTAGGTAAATAGGTGTGGGAGTAAATCCTCGAAACATGGAACTCTTTATATCAATTCTAACACTTAAAACAGGTAAAAATTCAAACTTCTGAGAAAAGTTAAAGTAAGTTAAAATATTTATTTATTTTTACAGGCTTTTATTTTTGCAGGTTCATAAAATCAAATAAAAAAAATCACTTCATATTCAGGAAGTATTTACTCTTCTGAGTTGTATGTAATTAGGAATGAGAAAAAATGGATTAAAAAATGAATTGAAAACACATCCAAATTTTAATTTCTCTTGAAGTTTTGAAATAAACTATTCAGCTACTTTCTTTGTCTTCCATAGCAATTTCAGTTGTGGCATGGTGTTACATGGTATGCACTGGGCTTCAATGGGCATTATATTGGAGCAATATAATTTTGATGCACATCTTCCCTTGTATGCAGTTGCATCATGCTGATTTGAGACTCTTTAAGACATTTTGGCATCTGCAAGCAGAATTCTTTCCAGAGGAAATAACTGGAAGCCCTGTCCAAAAGTCCTCACTGGTTTCCAGACGTGGAATGAATTTGCAGCAGAAATTCCAGTGGATCAACCCAGCTTCAGCTGGACATTGCAATATTTGTAAATGCAATAGTAGATAGGAGGAGAGAGGAAATCACGTGATAGGAATAGTGTGCAAGAGGACAATTTTTACTTCCTTTTGGAAAGGAGCGTGTATTCCTTTTTGGTAACTTCATATGCTCTCCTTTTAACTTGCTTGTTACCACTCTAGAGTCAACATCTTCTTCAACCATCATTTCACTCAGTCTCATACAAACCAATTAACTAACTAGTCTGTCTGCTTGGCAGCACTTGAGCCTCTCCTCAGTTATGAAAAACTTCTCTTCACCAGGAAGTATGTAATTCTGTATTCTGTAGTGCAAGTCTGTTGGTCTGGCATTCCTAAGACCGTTCACTGCTTCCTGAATAGAATTCCTGAATTTCTGAAATACTCTCAATTTTCTGCACATCTTAAAATGAAATTGGATCCCCAAGCCCTCATAAAATATTATTAACTAGGAATTAGAATTGCTGGGCAAATATGCTCGAACAACACAAAACAAAAATAATAAACAATCCAAAGTTCTACTAGTTTTCATTTTCAATTAGCAAGAGCAAACATCTTCCCTAAATGAATTTGCAGATGTGATAAAATCCCTACTTGCAGTAGACAAAGCCCCTGATACACATCAGTTTTTAAACAGCAAAAGAAAATACCTTAAATGATAGAATTAGAGATTGGCCATAGTACTTGCTGATACTTTCTTCAAAGATCCACTGGATGCT